TGTTTCTGTTTTTAATGCAGGGCTATCTGAGGGTCCAAAGATCACAGACACCCTACAGTATATTGTTTTTCTGACTTGTTCCCTGCGTGTAGAGATTTATTCAGATTCTCTGAAGATTTTAATATCATGTACTGTAAATCATGAAATCTTCAGATTCTTTGTAAATGAGAAACCTTTTTCTGAATTGTTGCACAGAGAGATGAACCCCTTCCTATCTTTACTTCAGTAAGACTCCGCCTCCCTAGGGTTCTCTATTCATACCCAGTCATTTTACTAACTTGTGGGCATTTACTTAAATGTGAAATGTACAATTCAGCATTATTTTTCTTTAAGCATTTCACAACATTTCAAGTCGTTTGTTGACACTGTTGCAACTTTCTTTTATTAGTTCTTGTCATCAAATTCAAAAAGGCTGGAAAAGATCCAAACACAATGATATTTCTCACTTTTAACATTTGATAAGTGCGTGTACATTTGTGCTGTTCATCATAAATATGGAGTTTCAATGTCATAGCATATCATCAAATTCTGTTTTATATATATTTTACACAAAGTCCCAACTTTTTGAATTTGGGGTTGTATAAAAACAATCTATTTTTAAGTATCCTTCAAATACAAATGATCCACAGTGAAACACATAAATGTGAAATGTTCTCATATATCTTGTGCAAACCCAATTTCTGCCTAAATTAGAACAATCCAGTTATAGTGTGTAGGCTATGTTCTTTTATAAAGCTAGAGATGTAATCAGTATCGAAGCATTCTTACACCTTTTTCAATGAACTGCTTTTTTTTTTGCTGATTTCCTCTCCCTTCTGCATCGTCTCTTATATTCCAGAGAGCTATAACACCTAAAGGGCGGGATTCTCTCACACAGGAGTGGATTGCTGTGCCATGAATCTATAATGTAATCCTGCTACACGGAGAGACACACATCATTCAAATGCAACAGTACATTACGATCTGTTATGTTGGAAATGCATGAAAATCTGAGAACTGTGTGAGCCAGAGTGTGAGAGAGAGGAGAGGGAGAGAGGGTGTGTGTGTTCACATTCATATATGGTGCAGAACATGCATGTTGTGTATGTTTGCAGTTGGATCCTTGAGTTTTTTCATCTGTGTGTGTGTGTGTGTGTGTGTGTGTGTGTGTGTGTGTGTGTGTGTGTGTATGTGTGTGTGTGTGTGTGTCTTTTTGTGTGGATGTGTAGAGGACAAGTAATTTACTGTTGTGTACATGTTGTGTTTGTGTTTAAATTCTTTGGTGCGTATGTGCATATGATTCACTGTGAGTACTGTGTGTGTGTATCTGTGTGTGTTTGTGTGTGTGTGTGTGTGTGTGTGTAGTAGTTTTATAGAGAGGAGCTGTGTGTGGGGGAGGAGAATGTGGAAGTGATTTATGCCTTTTTTCAAAAGGGGAGGGGTGCATATATGTATGTGTGTATGTGGGGGATGGGCAGATCGCACACTGTATGTATGTTCACAAAGTATGTGGGCTGGTTTGTGGCATGCATGTGTGTGTGTATATGTGAGTGTGTGTGTGTGTATATGTGTGAGTGTGTGTGTGTGTGTGTGTGTGTGTGTGTGTATGTGTGTGTGTGTGTGTGTGTGTGTGTGTGTATATGTGTTTGTTGTGTGTGTGAGTGTGTGTGTGTGTGTGTAAGAGTGAGACAGAGTAGGCATGAGAAAGAGAAAATTTATGATTCCTTTTTGTGTGTGTGTGTGTGTAAGACTCTGCATTGGTATGTGCATTTTTATGTCCGTGTGTGTCCATGAATTCATTTTGAACGTGTGTGTTTCTGTGTGTTTGAGTGTGTTTGGACGGTACACACATATGATATCCGTGTAAATGTGTAACTACTATATAGAGCACAAACATTATGTGTGCAGGTATTTGATATGTGGTATAGATTTTCACTTTTTATATGCATGTGTGACCATCTGTTTAGGTGCACTGTGTGTGTAAATCCATCAGTTGCACATAATTGTGTGTGTGTGTGTGAAAATTCATTTTTGGAGCCAGAGAAAGACAAAGTGGGCCATTCATTTTTTTTTGTTGCAAATATGAACTCTATTGTGGTCTCATTGAAAATGCATGGCTCGATCATGTAAAAGTATTTACTCTTTATCGTCGCCCTCGCTCTTTTACAACCTTGTAAATTGTGCTTTCAGGCCTAATTCTGTTTAATTCATTAAATTGATTTAGACAGCAAGCAGATCAATGACAACACTAAAGGGGGGAAGAGATGAAGTAGATCAGGAACAGATTGTTTGTCAAACATAGTCTACTCATTCAAGCTGAAGTAGAATCAGAAAATAATCCTGTTTTGCTGCCTTTCCTGATGATCCTTAATGACCAAACATCACTTTTCTTATAGCTGAAGATAAATAATCTAAGCAGAAACACATTGAGATTCTCTCACACTAATACACACAAACACACACACAAAAATTTGAGCTACAATCTATAGGTTTCATATGACTGTTTTAAATATGATTGCATCAATCAATCAACATTTTACATCAAAGGAGGCAACAGCAGTGGCTTGAATGTAAAGCAGATGTTTTTTCATTAAGTAGAAAAGGCAGATTCTTTGCCCAGCATGCTATAATCACCTGTTCTAACATTACGGTGGCTCTGATACTGAATCATTTTTAGTTTTTAGTTTAAGGCTAAACGACACCTTGAGTTCAAAATGTAAAATGTTTCCAGCCTGACCTGCATGATGGAGGCCTAAACTAGACAACAAAATAAGACACAGAGGGACACTAAATCCTTCCTGTTCCCCGGTTACTGTAAACACAGAGAGTCAAAGATGAGTCCGACAGAGCGCACATGCTGTCTATTGTCAAACAAGATTTATAAAACATGGTCTCCAACAGGTCTATTGGCAGGCCTTTGAGCACTTTAGACCAGTCTTCTGGTATATGGAAGTACAATCAGAGTACATCTACTATTTTAACCCTTGCATTCATATACACATCCAAGTGAGTTTGGTGGATCTACAATACTCCACCAACATCAGAGACGCTGTTTGGGCCCTGTCACAACGGGCTGATGCTTGACCCTCAGCCCCCGTCAGAGTTTTTATGTTGTGTCCCACATTTTTGGTGCTGGTTGTCAATCTAATAGTTAAAACTGCAGCTATAGGCCCAGGAATTAGAAAACATATCAGGGGGGCTGTTGAGCTAAGAAAGATATTGTACCCATTTGACTATTTTTGGTTTATTTATTGGGAAGGGGTGGGAGAGGAGGAGTGTGTTTATCTACTGGTGTTGATACACATCATGAAAATAAAAAGATGTGGGGAAAAAAGAAAGATATTGAACTCTTTCTAGCAAACACAGAGAGCATTAGCAATGGTGTAGTGCAGAGTTTAAGCTTTTTCAGTCTCCCTTTTAAATCCCCTCTGATTCACACCATTGATTGATGGAAAATATTCAGCAGTATGATGCAATATTATTTCCTGTAGGATGGTGAAGGGATGACCTTTTCAACTCTGTCTCTAATTGGGTGATAACTAACTAGATATGCATGATTAGTCTTACATGTCACGTTTTATAACACAGTCTGTTTATCCTCTGCAGGTTGGGACACAGTTAAAATACACTTCTTTAGGTTCCACTACACCTCTGAGCATTAGGGCTACCTCTTAACGATTATAGATTAAATGTATTACATTTTACACCTTCATCCCCTCGGCTACACCAAATCGAAAGTTTTCAATTGTGAATTGTGAATCTCCCACCGTAAGCCACGGTAGGAAAGGGCAATGTTGGAAAAAAATGAAGTACATCAAGCTGTAAAGTGTCACAAGTTCAAGAGTAAAAGGAGCTCTTGAAGGGACTGGCAGAGTATTGATCCACAACCGTAGACAGGATGAGGTCAGACAGAAGAGGAAGAGACAGAAAAAGGAACAGTTTTCTTTTTGATGAATTATTGCACTAGAAGTCAAATTGAATGCAGCCTGGATAACACAAGGACGAGTAGACAGGCAGGAAGCTGTGGTTCAATGTACACTTGGGGAGGGGGGGCGAAACAAGAGTGCTGTTGGGGGAAAGACTGAAGCAGAAACTTATAGTAATGAATGGAAAAGATGCTGAGATGTGAAATCGAAGCGTAAGAATTTAACCCCCCATATCTAGTTGCCTGAGTTTTAATATGTCATGTACCATGTTACCACCAAAAACCCATCAAATACAGTGACCCCTCAATGAAGCGGCTGTGGGTCAGTGGTACAGACAGTCATCTCTCAACTGGAGGTTGGGGTTCGATCCCCTCCTGCAGACACATGTCCAATGACTTCTTGGGCAACTTAACCCCAAGTTAGGCGGTGTGTAAATGTGTAGGTCTATATGTATGGGATTAGTTTATGGACACTTTACACAGCAGTCTCTACCATCAGTGTGTGAATGTGTAGGTGTGACCTTCAGTGTAAAAGCACTTTGAGTAGTCAGAAGACTAGAAAAGCACTATGACATGGCCTGCTCCGACCTCCACCTCAGCGGCAAGGCAGTGTGGTGTGGACAACAGGAACTTGAGGAATACAAAGCAGAAATCATTCCTGCAGTTTATCATCTCTCCCCCTATTCCAATATTTCTTTTAAGATAAGATAATATAAGATAATCGTTTTGACTTTTTTACAAATACAATATTCATCCATTCCTTTAATTCAAACACGACTAATCTGGACTAGCAGTAACTAACATTGTGAGACTCCACTTCTAAAAGGAGCTCACCACATGAGCCATGTCATGAAGGTAAAACGGATACTCTCAAAACTGATATTTTGTCGGGTATTTTTAACAGCAGCACGAAGGTACATTTTCTGAGTTTGACTTATTTAATGATTTATGTGCAGTTTGTACGTTTTCTTTGCTTTTTCCAGCTTTTTTATTTTTATTATCTTTTTCGGCAAAGTGTGTGCTTTTATTTTGGTAGAAAATGTACATCCGGGCTTGTCGCAGCTTACTCCTGTGCACTTAATGCAGCGGCTCTTTGTATGATTTCTCCGCGAGGTACCACAGCACCGAGCTCACGCAACGGAGGAGGAACATTAAACACAGAGTCCCAAACACGGGATAGACGGGGTCCAATACCGAGACCTGTTCGAACCGCACTCCGCCACTGGATACCTACACCGGTACCGAGAGGGAAAAACGACGTTTTTAGAGCGTTCGCTTTTGCTATTTATTGTTTAAACGTGAGGAATTAAATAAGTTGGTTAACTGGGAAGTTTGCTTCTCTCAGCAGCACCGACCTAAACCATACTCACCGACTTACCTGCCTCAAACGCGCATTTCTTCTCCAACAGAAGAGCGTTTTTTTGTTTTTATCACACATTGGTTTTTGTCTCCTTTTGGTGCCTCAGGGACACGGAGAACCTCCTAACTTTTCTAAGAACAATAGTAAGGTCTATCCCGGTAGTTTTTCTGACACAAAGGAGCACAGACAGTACCAGAGAAAGCATCTCGAAGAGTCGGACAGACGGGAGAAGTAGATGTATTGTCGGCCATGGATGTAACAGTTTACCCGCCTCCTCCTCAGCCTCTGGCCGCTACAGACCACAGCAGGCTGGGGCAGCTCTCCTACCCCGACCCGGCCTTTGGGACCAACAAGGTAAGCAAAAAGAAAGGCTCGTAATGTGGATATAGCCTCATGCGAATCATTCCCCCATTGCCTGAAAGATGAAAAACCATGCATTTAGTGTTTTTTTTTTTTTTTTAATGATTACCCAGCTCTCCTCTCTCTAGCTACACATGCTTCTCGCTTTGCCAATTAAGTGTTAATTAATTGCTTTATTGGGATCCAATTATTAACGCAGCCGTCGACTGTAACTACATTTTTCTTTCCATCACATCCACTCAGGATTATATGAAGGCTGTAATTTCATCCCTGGCGAGTAATCAGTAATGTAATGACTTTAATTAAAAAGTGAACCAATAATTGAAAAGTTCTCAAATTTCAATATGCATCACATAATAGGAATAATAATAAAAAAAACAGAAATTAAGAATGAAGCATGTGAGAGAGACATACATTTTGATCACATATTCTATTGAAATAATATTTAGGCTACTATAGTGGAGTTTACCAAAGTGCTTCACATTTGTGATGCTTCAGTTAATTGGTGTCTGGGAAGCTCCAGGCAGGGTCAAAGGTCAGGGTCAGATTCACAGAACAAACCTGGAGCTGGTAGATTCAGTGACTTGCTATCTATCTATCTATCTATCTATCTATCTATCTATCTATCTATCTGAAAAGCACACATGGTGCAGTGAGTCCATGCTTATCTGACAGTGATGAATTGCTTAATTATTAGACTATGCAGCTGATCAGCAGCTATTAACGTTCAGGACAGACTCTTTTCAGTCTCACAACAATGACTTGATTTTGATTGCAAAAAGTAATTAACAACATTTTATCTGATCATTTAATAAAGATTAAAAACACTTTCATTATATGTAGAAATGATGGATTATATTATTTGACAAAAAGTAGCCAGTTTTGGTCTTCTTTGTGATGTCCTTGACATTTTTGAATCAGAAGACAGAAGGATATAAACTAGATTTCTTTGTAAAGTATCAACACATAAATATTTCTTGTAATCTTTCAGATCCTTTTCTGTCACTTTACCTTTTTGTGTTTTTTAGTCTTTGCTAACTGCTCGGCTGAAAACACAACTCGGTGTTTGTTTGGATTATTCTCTAGCATGGGAACAGTTTCCTCAGAGCATCAGTGACCGACTGATTTTCTCTGTTTAGCACCTCAGCAACAACAATGTCGTAACAGTGTGAAACCTTGCCTAATACATGATTTAAACACACTACAAGCAACCACCTACTTGATGCTAAAACTGCCACGTTACAAACTAGGGAAGGGTATTTTCAGTCATTTCAGTATTCGAGTAACTTATGAACGCGTTGTCAATTATTTGATTCTCAATTCTCCGTTGTTTTAAAAAAAAACAATCAGTGGACATGGATCTCCCAGACCAACTCGTCTGCAGCTCCTTTGAGGTGGTCCGCTTTTCTGTGTTGCGCTGCTCATTGTTACAGCATGTCTGTACTGCGGACTTAAAATCTCAGTTCTGAAAGAAATGAAGTCATAGTAACACATGACTCACAAGTCACAAGTCTGTAATAACCAGCACTTTGTTGACACATATCAACCCTCAGTTCTGCAACGCTTCCTGCTTACATCTTTTCCGTTCTTGTAGTGTTTTTTTCCCCGTGCTGGTGTGTTTTACCCACCGGCTCAACAAACGCCATCGTATTTAGTTGGCTAATCTTCTGCGCTCGTATGCTAACAGGCTCTCAGTTAATGTGATGCAGGACTGTCGCTGCTGGTTTCTCCTCGGGCTTTAAACATCAAACTAGTATTTCTATGATATGCAACGCCACATATCTGGGATTGCACATTTTCGTCATCTTTTTTGTCACAGTACTTCCAGACATCGCTTTTCCTGGCTGACGTGGTGCATGTAAGGCTAACGGAGCTGAATTATTGTAGCCTCTTCTCCTCTGTCGCCCCCAGTGGTGGAATGAACTTCCAAACTCCATTGGATCTGCAGAGTCCCTCTGCACCTTTAAGAAAAAGCTAAAGACCCAGCTCTTTCATGAATACCTACTAACTTAATGATGATGGTCTCCATATTATTGATGATGATGATGATGGTAATGACGATGGTTTTTGTTTGATAACGATGACTTATAAGATGGTTTCTATACTGATTAGAGCTCTCAAGAACTGCCCTCAATGTTGTGCTTTGCCTCTGGTCACTTCCTGTCAGCACCTGTGTGTCCAATCAGATTCAAAGCTGATCGTTTGCTCTTACTGACATTGTTCCCTTTTTTCTAGATCCTTGCTTGTATTGTACTTACTCTCTGATGTACGTCGCTTTGGATAAAAGCGTCTGATAAGTGAAATGTAGAATTGTAGAAGCCTAAATGATGAGTTAGCAGCTGTGAGAGTAGTGAAACGTTACTCGAATAAGGACATCAACGAGTACTCGAGTAATTGTACCTCTTCCAACTACATGTTTATGTTGAGCAGAAATGTGGTCAGCAGATTGGGCGAGACTTGAAAACACCATGATGTCTCGATGAGGTGGTACAGATTTAAGAAAGTTTACTTGATTTGTCCTCAAAGGGAAACTATTTAGAGCCCTGATGACAAAGCGGTTAGCTCATCCCCGAAGTAGAGATGTTAGCCCGGGTTTAAGTCCAACCTACAAAAAGACAAAACAAATATATTTAAAAGAAAGCGAAAACTCATTTTCAGAATAGATGCATGCATGGCACAAAAATGCAAGAGTTGCAGGATTTCACAGACTAAAACAAGATACCATGCTTTCATCAACATGTTAGACAACACACACACACACACACACACACACACACACACACACACACACACTACAAACTGGATTTCCTTAAATGGTATTTAAGTTTTTTTGAAACAATTATTCACTGTGTTTATGTAATCCTAAACCACATTCAGTGTCTGAACTAACTGTGTTGTATACCTGCATGCTTTCTTTAAGCTCAACGTGTAACAGTGGATGTAGATATGCTCGCTGCACAGCATCATAAAGTGCTGCTGCTGTCAGTGTATTTGTTTCAGAAAGAGGAAGGGAGAGATAAAAGATAGTGGATGGTGTTGTTGAGAGAGAGAGAGAGAGAGAGAGAGAGAGAAAGCTGTATGGTTGGGGGTAGGGACTGAAGAGAGAGAGAGAGAGAGCGTAAGAGGAGAGAGAACGAGAGGAGGGTTGTTGGGGGTAGGGATGTTGTAGATGAGAGAGAGCAGGCGAGTGTAGTGGGGGTGGGGCCATGAAGGTTTGAGGTTTGTACTATATTTCTCTCTCTCTCTCTCTCTCTCTCTCTCTGTCTTTTGATTCACGGCTCTGTAGGCCTGATAGAAAAGATCATATTACTCTGTGGGGAGGCAGAGAGAGGGAGAAAACAGAGAGGGATGGAGGTTATTTAAAAAGCAATGAAAGAAAGGGCGCAGGAGAGAGGGAGAGAGACAGGAAGTGGGAGAGGAACTTAGGAGGCACAGGAGAAACAGAACAAGAGATAAAGAAGAGGAACAGAGCAGAGAGTGGGTATTTGAGTCTCTCTCTCTCTTACTCTCTCTCTCTCTTACTCTCTCACTCTCTCTCTGTATGTAATAGTGGTCGGCCATATCAATCAAACAGAGACATTCTGCTGAACAATCACCACTAGAAAGACAACATATTTATAAATTGTTCCTAGGACTTGTATATTGCTAGATAGGTTTATGTTCATTTATCTTAAGGGGGTGTGCATATGTTGGGGTCTTCTTACTGTTATGAGCACTTCAAATCTGAACCGAGTCCCTTCAAAGCAACATTATGTAGTAATTTGTTTTGGTGCTGTCTGCGCCCTCCGCAGGCATCTGAGTGCGACTGCACATAGTCCTGTAGCGCCTCAGACAACTTGCATTTGTTTGCTAGCAGAGGGTGTGACGCCGCCGTTCTATTGAGATGTGCCACTATGTGGCTGTGCAGTACAGGGAGCTTAGGCTGCACGATTATGGTCAAAGTGATTATCACGATCAATATTGAGATCACCATTATTAATCACGATCATTACGTCTTTTTTGAATTAGTTTATGCTTATTTAAAAAAATATCCTGCTTCTCAAACATTACCCACTCTCTCTCTCATAAGAGAGAGAGAGTGGGACAAAAGAATCTGCACTTGCATTTTTGGTCCCCTAACAATTGGCCAAACATGACACAGCTGCAGCCCCTTAAATACACCCACTGTCCCACAGTAATCCATCCTCAAGCAGCCGTATGCATGAAGTGTCAAAGAAAAAGATCTGTTTTCAATTTTAATCCTCTTCTAAGAATGCATTTATTTTTAATGGTACTTAATATTTTAGCTTTACATGAAAGCATTTGTAAGTTTTATTTTATACCGACTTAGGTCTATACGGTACTTTGTTTCCTGTTTGGATTAAAAACTTTATTTTGAAAGAGAAAAACAAACGTCTGGTTGATTGAACGTTATCACAGTAACTTAATTATGGCAAAAAAACAATAGAATAAAATGAATGTTTGATTTCATGTTTATCGTCATGATGAAATCGATAGTGAAACTTTTAAAATATGAGTTGTGTTGATGTATTTTGTCAGACATATTCAGTCAGAGAGGAGGTGAGGGCGGGGCCAGAGAAGCTGCAGGATGTGATGTAATGTGAAATTTCAAACGACTATTTTAAGGTTGTAAAGTATATATTGTAACATATTGTTGTGTTAACCTCGTTATTTAAGTTAGAAATATGATCATGACTGCTTTCATTTGTTTGTACATAAATTGTAGACAATGTTTGGATCACATAACGGAGGGCGAGGGGAGCATGTGATCAAACAAAACAGGTGGAGCTGTAATAAATTATTTAATATCAAGCTTCCTCTGTAGATAAGTCACTGAAAAAGAGAAGTGAGTGTGTTTAGATATCTTTATTGTCATCAGCACACAAACACAAGCCAAACATATCTCACCTTACCCACACACACATTCAGAGCTGTAAACATGTTTAAAAGAATGAATAAGAATAAGAATATGTGGAGCAATTAAGTTTTTGGTT